ACAGCCCAGCTTTCTTCACAGGTCATTATGTCTGAGGGTGGGTGCCTTGCTAATGCAGGTGTCCAGCAAGGGCCCAAATACTGTGGAAAGAACAGAAGCCACTGCTTATTGCAGGGGCTGGTGGGAGGCTAGTGTGCATCTCTGCCTGTCTCTAGGTGTTCTCTAGACCACATATGCTGTCAGGGAGGCCCCTGGCCAGCTGCCCACTTAGAGTTTTCTTTTATTTCATCCTTTCAAGTTCATCAACACAAATTTTTATCTCTGGGTTTTTTTTTTTTATGTTATGTTTATATACTTTGTAGTGTTTTCATAATTTGCTCATTTATCCTAATTGATGGAATGTTTTACCTGTTCTCTGGATGATATGGACAGAAGTTGGTTTGTACTTTATAAAAAGTATGTTTCATGTATTCAGCATTGAAGTACCATTTTGTTGGGGTGTCTGGGTGGCTCAGTCGGTTAAGCGTCTGACTTCGGCTCAGGTCATGATCTGGAGGTTCGTGGATTAGAGCCCTGCGTTGGGCTCTGTGCTGACAGCTCAGAGCCTGGAGCCTGCTTTGGATCCTGTGTCTCCCTCTCTCTCTGCCATTCCCCAGCTTGTGCTCACTCTCTCTCTCTCTCAAAAATAAATAAACATTAAAAAAAAAAAAAAAAGGGAAGTACCATACCATGTCCTGAATTAAAGTTTCGGTCATTCTTAGGATGGGATATGGATCCTATATCATCATTTGTGAAAAAAAGACATTTATTTAATATAAAGCCCAGTGAATTTTAGCATATGGATGATAACATAGTCAGTGCCTGCCACATAGACGTTCAGAAGCTGTTTATTGAAACACCTGATATGTTCACAAAAAATATAAAATAGGAGGGCACCTGGGTGGCTCAGTTGGTTGAGCGTCTGACTTCGTCTCAGGTCATGATCTCGCCATTTTCGAGTTCAATCCCACATTAGGCTCTGCTGACAGCTCAGAATCCAAAGGCTGTTTCGGATTCTGGGTCTTCCTCTCTTTCTCTGCCCCTCCCCCGTTGCACTCTGTGTGTGTCTCTCTCCCTCAAAAATAAATGAATGTTAAAAAAAAAATGTTTTTTTTTTTTTAATTTTTTTTTTTCTTCAACGTTTTTATTTATTTTTGGGACAGAGAGAGACAGAGCATGAGCGGGGGAGGGGCAGAGAGAGAGGGAGACACAGAATCGGAAACAGGCTCCAGGCTCCAAGCCATCAGCCCAGAGCCTGACGCGGGGCTCAAACTCACGGACCGCGAGATCGTGACCTGGCTGAAGCCGGACGCTTAACCGACTGCGCCACCCAGGCGCCCCCAAAAAAAAAAAAAAATGTTTTAATAAAAAAATTATAAAAATGTAAAATAGCAGTACCTGGATGGCTCAGTCAGTTAAGTGTCTGACTTTGGCTCAAGTCATGATCTTGTAGTTCATGAGTTTGAGCCCCACATTGGCCTCTGTGCTGACAGTGAGGACCCTGCTTGGGATTATGTCTCTCTCCCTCTCTCTCTTGTGGTCCCCCTCTCTCTCAAAATAAATAAATAAACTTTTTTAAAAAAAATGTAAAATATAGTCTGGCTTCTTTACTCCTAAATATACAATGGAATGTTCTTTCTGTGAGATGTATACTCAGATGCTATTAGCAGACTTAACAATTTGAAAAGCAGGGACATTCTTCCATTGAGCTCCTGTTTTTTGCTACTGGGGTAGTCATCTCATTCTGCTCTGTCTCCCCTAAAAACTGAGAGGCATCCTGCAAAGTCTGAACAGCCAGCTTGCATGCACTATCTATCACTGGACCTGAGGGAAGCAGGAAATATCTCTCCTGGCCCATCTCTGTCTCAGCCTAACCAGGCTGTTTCATGAGGCTGGAAATGCAAACAGTACCCCTCAGATGCCTCAAAAATAGACCATTTTCAGTTGATCGTATCATTATTCATGGTTTCATTTTTAATTTTGTCTTCTTTTTTTTTTTAATTTTTTTTTAACGTTTATTTTTGAGACAGAGAGAGACAGAGCATGAACAGGGGAGGGGCAAAGAGAGAGGGAGACACAGAATCTGAAACAGGCTCCAGGCTCTGAGCTGTCAGCACAGAGCCCGACGCGGGGCTTGAACTCACGGACCGTGAGATCATGACCTGGGCTGAAGTCGGACGCATAACCGACCAAGCCACCCAGGCGCCCCTTAATTTTTTCTTCTTAAATTGTTTGTGAACTATGATAATCCTTTCAGGTGATGTATTAGCAAATTAGTAAAATTAAAAGGCTCAGGGGCGCCTTGGTGGCTCAGTTGGTTAAGCATCCGACTTCGGCTCGGGTCATGTTCTCATGGTTCGTGGGTTCGAGCCCCGCTTTGGTCTCTGTACTGACAACTCAGACCCTGGAGCCTGCTTCAGATTCTGTGTCTCCCTCTCTCTGCCCCTCCCCTGCTTGCTCTCCCTCTGTCTCTCAAAAATAATAAACATTAAAAAAAAAAATTAAAAAAAGAGGATCAGAGATGGTCCTTCCTCTGGTCCAGAGAAAGAGAAGAGCTTTTACCTAGGCAAGCCTCATTGTTCCTCGTGGTCTGGATAATATTTCTTCCCATTTCCTCTCAACCTTGAATCCACCAGCTATTCCTCTGCCTCCTGTGACAGTTATTTATCTTCTGAGCTTCTGAGGAAACTCATCTGTAAAATGGGGTAGTAATAGTACCAATTGTATTGACTTCTTGGGCAATTGCATGAAGCAGTCAGTGCACATGTGGTACTCACCAGAGTGCCTGCTGGGAGTGAGCTCTGTTAGCAGAGCACAGCATTGTTAGCAGATTCTCTTTTATTTGAGCTCCCCTGTTCATCAGGCTCATTCTTCACACCCTGTAGACATGCCTGAGTCTTTCTTCAGGATACACTCACGTTCCTCCACTCACTGTTTTCGCTCCAGCTACCAGCTTCTCATCCCTTTCACAGCCAGGCATATTAGAAGTGTGGTCTCACAGTGTGGACCAGAGGAAGCCAGATATGATAGGCCATGTAGGATTCCATTTATATGAAGTTCAGGAACAGCCTTACTTTCCTTAACAGGAATTAAGGAAAACTGCAAGGAGAGAAGTCAGATACGGTCACCTAATAGTCGGAGCAATGGTAGTTTTGACTCAATAAGGACCCTTTTGGAGGCCAGAAAGGTTTTCTGTTTTGATCCAGGAGGTGGTCACACAGGTGCATAAATGTGTAAAAATTCATCAGGCTGAAGCCTTGAAAAATTAGCACTGTAAATTATGGCTGTTACACATCTATCTAAACAAAAAGAGCTCAGGTACCACCTTTCACCACCTGTCACTTTTGTGGCTCATCCCTACCACTCACCACCCTCTTCTTGGTCACCAGAATGTTTCTGCACATTTGAATCTTTTCTTTTTTATTTTTTTAACGTTTATTTATTTTTGAGACAGAGAGAGACAGAGCATGAACGGGGGAGGGTCAGAGAGAGGGAGACACAGAATCTGAAACAGGCTCCAGGCCCTGAGCTGTCAGCACAGAGCCCGACGCGGGGCTCAAACTCACAGACCTCGAGATCACGACCTGAGCTGAAGTCGGACGCTTAACTGACTGAGCCACCCAGGCGCCCCGCACACATTTGAATCTTTATCTTGACCTCCAACAGCACTGAATACTGATAATCCCATCTTCCTTTGTGAAACTCCCTTCTTGGACCTAGAAGCAACCTCCTGGTGACCCAACCTCTGGCTTCCCCTTAGTTTCCTTCATCAACTCTCAGGGAGCTATTTGGGTAACACTAGAACTTCATGTTGATTTAGCTCTGCTGGGTACAGGGCACGGCAGCACAGAAACCCACAGACAGCCCTTTTTAAAGCTGTGCTTTTTACTCACATAAAGCAATGATTATTATCTAATGAACTGGGACTAGATTAACTACTCAAGAATGGCAGCCTCAGCTGTAAGATGTCCACTTGGAGATCTGTGCAGTGGCCAACGACACTTAAGTCTTAGGAAAATTCAGAAGAAGTATAGACTCTACTGAAGACATAAGACCCACATGGAATGAGAACACAGGACTAGTATTGAATTATCCAGTGTAGATGGTTGTTGCCCCAAACGTTAAGAGGAAGGGGTCAGATACTGAAGTTGGCCTGAAATCCTCTTCTCAGTGTCTGCTTGCCTCTCTCCCCTCATTCCAGCCTTTGCTCAGATCTCACCCTCAGATGAAACTCTGCTGTATACTGTAGCCATCTCCTTCCCTAGCACTCCAGATCCCACATTGCTCCCTCCCTGTAGTATTTAATTGCCTTCCAACACAACAGTATAATTTGCTGATTCATTATGTTGATTGTTTAGTTTGTTTACCATATTAGACTGTAATTTCCACAAGGGTAGGGATATTTGTTTTGCCCACTGATATGTCTCACATGCCTAGAACAGTGCCTTGGCACATAGTAAGTACTTAATTACTTGTTGAATTACCTGAATGACTGGTTCAGCCAAGTGGTTTAAAATCCAAACAAGTGAAAGAAAAGCCTGAGGCTTATAAGGTTGACATCAACCCACATCACAGTACCTCCCTCCCCAAGGCAGGGCTTTCTTCAGATCCACACTGTCCTCTGGAGGGCTGCATTATCCTTGAGCCCCATGCCCAGAGGTAGCCAGGAGTCACCTTGATACTGTCTGTGGCAGCCTTGGCGACTGGTCCCAGTCACAGGTTTCAATAGCAGACTAACATGAGCAGCAAAGATAGTGATGCTGTGAGCAGTTGGCAGCCTGGGCATATTTGTGGAGAGAAATGTGAATATTCCATGTTAGGAAGTGAGAGATGTGTCAGTCATAGTTGGACTGAAGTCCCTGGTGACCAGGATCCTCTCATTTTGTTCTGAATTTGTTAGGCACTGATTAATTTGTAGAGTTGCAAATTAAATACAAATTGGAGTTTGAGCAATGAGAAAATTATCTATTTCTGTGTCCTGTGCCAATATATAGCTCTGATGACCTCCTCTCCCTTTCCAGGGTGAAAAGGCTGATAGCTTCTATATTATAGAGTCCGGCGAGGTGAGCATCCTGATCAGAAGCAAGGTGAGTCTGTGTGTGACGAGGCAAGTTATGCCAAGTGCGTGCACAGAAAGTAGCTGTTTGCTGTAAATGGGAAGTGTGTCTAGTATCTAGTGTCATTGTTATATGAGGCATGTGACTGGCAAAGACCCATGTTTAAGTCCCTCCAGTGATAGGGATTTAGTATATTTCTCTTTGTTCCTATTGCCTTTGCATCTGTTACATAATTAATGATATGAGAAATAATTGCTACAGATCCATAAGAAAAAGATAAATACCCCTAGTAGAAAGTGGGGGGAATACATGATAAAGACATACATGTGGGTGTTGAATATGAAAAAAACTTCCTTTCTAGAGCACTGGAAGGGGAGGTCTGTAGGACCATTGTTATTATACCATTTCATGGATAGGAAGACCTAAAATGACCAATAGATAGGAGGAGTGATCCTTATCATAAATCCGTCATCACCAGATTTCTCTGTTCAATTTTTTTTTAAGAATATAGAATATTTAGGGGCACCTGGGTGTGGTTCAGTTGGTTAAATATCCAACTCTTGATTTTGCCTCAGGTCATGATCTCACAGTTTGTGAGATCAAGCCATGCGTCAGGCTCTCAGCACCAAGCCTGCTTGGGATTCTCTCTCTCACTGCCCCTCCACAGCTTACACTCTTTCTCTCATAAAAAATAAACATTTTTTAAAAGAATATAGAATTTGTTAAAATAGTTAAATATAATACTGACCTAATATGAAGTCTCTTATAGAATATCTTTAGTAAAGGTTATATAGAGAAGGATAAATATGATTACTCCCTGTAAGGTGGCTTGATTCGTGATTAAAAATGGATCTGCTGGGGGCGCCTGGGTGGTTCAGTCGGTTAAGCATCCGACTTCGGCTCAGGTCATGATCTCACGGTCCATGAGTTCGAGCCCCGCATCGGGCTCTGTGCTGACAGCTCAGAGCCTGGAGCCTGTTTCAGATTCTGTGTCTCCCTCTCTCTCTGACCCTCTCCCGTTCATGCTGTCTCTCTCTGTCTCAAAGGTAAATAAACGTTAAAAAAAATTAAAAAAAAAAAAATGGATCTGCTGTTTCACATGAAACAATAGGTTGAAACATCTATGTTCTTTTACTTATTGTTTTTGGACTAGTGATACATGTTTGCATATTTCTCAAATACTCATTGACACCTCCTGATCACAGCCTAGTGGTGTTGGGTGTGTGGGACCAGCAGCACTGTGGCCCTGGGGGTTGGGAGAGCTTGTCAGGAATGCAATCTTAGACTCTGCCCCAGACCTACTGAATCAGAATCTGCATTGTAACAAAACCCTCAGGGGGCTGGTGTTCACATGACCATGTGGTAAATGCTACTCTGGAGAAGCAACTAGGTGGGCACAAACGTGTCTGCAGCCCCAGAGAATGCTACAGAAATTGGAAGTGGATTGTTGGCTCCAATGGAGCAGATCAACTGCAGAGCAAACAGGTCAGGGCAGTAGTGTGCAAGGAGGGTTATTTGCCTATAACTTAAAGTAGCTCTTAAAGATTGAGACTAATTCTTATAAATAAACTCTAAATAATCTTTTTACTTAAACAAATTATTGCTTAGCTTGGCAAATGGATTTGTAAAAAAAAAAAAAAAAAAAAAAAAAAAAAAAAAAAAAAAAAAAAAAAAAAAAGCAAAACCAAACAAAAAACCTCTAGATATTAAATATAATATAGTACATTATTTTCAGTAATTTGATAAGCATAAATTACAACCTGTTCGATTTCTTAATACAAAGTTAAACCACTAAATTTCCAGGTTGAACATTATAAAAAATTGTTTTTAGTTACTCAGCTCCTCTAAAAAAATGTGTGGTGGTAGGGGGGGAAACCACTAACTTAAACTGTTTTTTTTTTTTTTAATTTACTTTTTTAAATTTACGTCCAAGTCTTTAAACTATTTTTTTTTTCATTTTTCTTAATCTTTATTCACTTTTGAGAGAGACAGAGCATGAGCGGGGGAGGGGCAGAGAGAGA